GAGGTGCTGATCCACATATCAACTACTTCACACTCAGCTGCCCATTGCTCCAGTGAGCACTGGAGGCATACATGCGATGGAGCCAAAAGGACAACATCATCCACAAACGGCAACAATCCCACCTTCTGGCCTCTCCACATAATGCCCTCCTGACCTTGGCTATGCCTTCACACCCTGTCCTTGAATATCAGGAACAGGAGTGGAGACAAGACACAACCTCCAACACTCACACTGAAAAGGCCTCACTTAGTGCTGAGTTTACAGACACAACTCCTACTGCGGGAGTACAGAGACTGAATGGCCCAGAGTAGTGGCCCTGGCCCTGGATATCTTGGGGAACACGATCATAAGCCTTCTCCAAGTCCAACAAACACATGTAAACTTGGTTGGCCAACTCCCATGTCTCCTCAAAAGAGTCTCCTTTCCAGCATCTTGGCCTAAACTCTGAGCAGTTGGATGCCCCGATAATGGGCACACACTCTCCATTCCCCTTTCTTAATTAAAGGGACTACTACCCAGATCCGCCAGTCCAAGCGTACTGTTTCCGAGGTCCATGAGACATTGGAGAGGTGTGTCAGCCATGTCAGCTCCACAGTATCCAGAGCCTTAAGCATTTCTAGGTGAACCTCATCCACCTTTGGTGCCTTGCCACTGAGGAGCTTGTGCAGGAGGTTCAAAGGTATCAACTAGATATAGTTGAGCTCACCTTTACCCATAGTGTTGGCTCTGGAACCAAACTCCTTGATAGGGGCTGATCCCTCTCCTACTCAGGAGCTGCACAGGATGAAAGGTGCTGGGCAGGTATGGGGATACTCACAGTGAAATACATACATACATACATACATCATCTAAACCGCTTATCCTACTGGGTCGCGGTGGGGTGCTGGAGCTGTCAGCTGTCATTGGGCGGAAGGCAGGATACACCCTGGACAGGTCGCCAGTCCATCGCAGGGCAGACAAACAGACATACACAGTCACACACTCACTCACACCTAGGGGCAATTTAGCATGTCCAATTGGCCTGACTGCATGTTTTTGGACCGTGGGAGGAAACCGGACGCAGACACGGGGAGAACAGGCAAACTCCACACAGAAATGACCCTGGTCACCAGTGAAATACAATAATATAAAAACTGACATGCCAACACAAAAAGCATTCCATATTTCAGCATCAAACATCAGCATAAAATTGTTTAAAAAAAAAAAACAACATGTCAGTGTCACTGCTGGGCCAAGAATGGTTCACCACCTAAATAATATCTGGTCAGCAGTTGTTGTATGGTCCATCGATGGTTTTGGCAGTGGATGGTTTGTTAGGAGTGCCTGACAAAAGTACTACATGGTCAAAGTATGTGGTCATTTCTTCTGAATAGTAGGTTTCACTTTTTAAGCCCTGAAGTAAACATTTATGTAGTCTCCATACACAAACATTCTAAGTAGAATATTGAAGAGCTGAGTAACCCTTAAAGTGGCAACGTCATAGGGTGCCCTTTCATCACGTCACTTTGTCAAATTTCTGCCCTGTCAGAGCTGCCCCCGTCAACTGTCAGTACTACTACTAGGAAGAGGAAAGGTCTAAAAGCAAAATAAAAGCTCAGGGGTGGGCTGCTCAAGCTTACAGAACAGGACTGCAGAGTGCTAAAGCATGGAAAAATTGTCTGTCCTGTAGTTGTTTTCAAACGTTCTGTCATATCAATAACCAATAGTTTATTTTTCAGCTCTGTTTTATAAGTGGTATTATGGAGGCAACATGAAATTAGATATTTTCAGTAAAAAGGATTCAATAGGTCAGAGAAAATTGTGTCCATCAAAGAAATGATCATAATTTGTTAGGCTCGGACAGAATTCAGACTGCAGACCATGCTTAGGTAAAAAGGGTTTATTAACAAAGGGAGCATCCGAAATCAAAGTCAGCCAGTCCAAGGTCAAAAGCCAGTATACCAAAACAGCAACCATGAGGAAAACAGGAAACATGGTCAAACCATAAAACACAACAATACTGAGAGGGCAAGGCAAAAAGGCAAGGTTTAAGAAAAAAACAAAACAAGGTTCATACATGAAATAGCACACAGACAAATGGAAGGCTCAGTAAGACTCTGATAACAAAGGCAATACTTCACAATGAGCTAAGCTAAAGCCTATTAAACTAACAGGTAACCATAATAATGAAGAGTTTTGAGTGATCAGTTGTCAAGTGAGGTAGAATGTTGGACAGTCATGTGAGGGAGGTTGGAAGTCATGTGATTGGGATTAGAGTCCAGAGGCTGGGAGGCAGAGACAGTGGAAATGGAGGGAAGTGTCACATAATTAGTCAGATCAAAGTAAAGTTCATTAAGTTTTACATTGAACCACACAGTGAAGGGTTCTAGGATTACACTTGTTAGCTTTTATCTATTTAGTTATCATTTACATTTCTAGGATGTAGATGCACTAAATGATAGTTGGATCAGCCCAGAGGTGATTTGGATATAAAGGCATTAGTCACATTAATGTAACATAGGTTAACATTTTTGTTATATGTGCTTTTTCAACACGTCTTTCCAAATCTTCTGGCATAAAGATGGAATTACCCACTATTTTCTGCCCTAACCACCATCTACTCTTTTGGGATGGCTTTCCACTAGATTTTGGATGGTTGCTCTGAGCATTTGCTTCTATTCAACTGAAAGAGTATTAATGAGGTTGGGCACATGTTGGGTCAAAAGGTTTGACTTGATGTTCCAGTTTATTCCTAAGATGTTTGACACATTTGAAGGTAGAGCTAAATACTAAACAGTAAGCCTCTCATAAAAATCCATGGAAATCATGGAAATGGTTCTCTCTTCAGCACCAGGGAGAGCATTTGAGGTAACAGCATTGGCAGTTTTGCTCCAACTGAGCTGAAATGTCCAATGATGGTGCATTTATAAAGTTAGAAAAGATTTGTCTTCACATGTCTAGGAAAAAGCATTATTGATAAAGGGAGAAATAAAGTAGTACTTTAGTTGGACAGCCCGCTGTAAATGTTTCAAAGATGCTTATCGTCCATTTCACTGAAAGTCTACTAATTGTTTCATATATTTACCCCACTTTACCCCAATATTAAAATTAACCACAGTCTAAAACCTCACGTTCACACTTTTGTTACTGTTACTAATACTAACCCTAACAATGGTGAAAATCAAAAGACTTTCAACATTTATTCTAATGAATTAAAAATCTTCACATCATTTATTAGGAATGTTCCAATTAAACTGAGCCCATAACTTGTGGATGGAATTTGTCTTCAATCCAACTTGGGAGAACAGTTGGGTACACCAGAACATCACATTCATATGTGTTTGTTGGCTCAGAAGAAACACATTTAATGATCATTGTAAATAGTTTTAAAGATGCGTGTGTTGCATGGAACTTACGTACAAATTATCTATTAAATTTAGCTTAAGTTATCAAAAAGAGGTCAAACAGTGTCGCTGGACTGAATACACTTCATCGTGTGAGTCGTTGCGCAAGAGAAATGAGTTTAGCTTTAAGGTATAAATACCTGATAACTGAAACAACAGAGAGTGCAGTTGTGCCAATGTCAATATCTTGTCCTCACTGGTCACGCTGAACTCAGAATGCGGCCGAATATTGCTTTCTTCAATACATCACAATTCAAAACACCAGAGACAAACAAACACAAAAGTGATGTCATTTACTGTAGTTAATATTCAGGTCATGATCACGCCTCCTGATTCTGAGCTCACACTCACAGGGGATTTTCACAATGTGGCTATTTAAAGACAGTCACTCGGGTCTTCACAGGGCTGAGAACTACCGAGCAGACGATGCAGATCACTTCAATGTCAGTGATGTTTGTATCAATGTTTTGGATGCCTGGGTTCAGTCCAGCAGATTGTAATACCGACCTGCTCAGCTGCAGGCGGTGGGCTGAGCCTCAAATGCCTGATTTTTCTTTAAATGGAGATTTTATAATCGGAGGAATTTTTTTAATTCATTACCAGAAAAGTTCAGAAAACAAGACGTACACCAGACAACCACTCCAGCTACCGTGCTCTGGGAGGTCTGTCTGTGAGAGTGTTGAGTTATAAATGACACCAGAGAGAAATTATCATAATCAAGTTTTTACTCATTTGCAATCAGGTTCCTCATTCAATTATTGTCACCTGGAGACATGTGGTAATATGAAGAAAATCTTGTTTTGTGTTATTTTATGTTCTATTTCTCTCATCAGTATGGGTTTCAGGGGGCTGCGCTTCGCTCGGGCCATGGAGTTCACCATCCACGAGATCAACAACAGAACAGATCTCCTGCCGGGAATCACGTTAGGATACCAGATACACGACTCGTGCGGTGCAGTGTCGACGGCAATCAAAGCTGCATTTCAGTTTGCAAACGGCATGGAACCATTTTTCAATGATACTGATTCCTGTTCAAGATCCACAGCCGCCGCTGTTCCTGCTCTCGTGGGAGATTCTACATCCACTCTTTCAATCAGTATGGCTAGAATGTTGGGACTCGTTGGAATTCCACAGGTAACTGTAAGCTGGACCAAACTGTGCAAAAAAGTATAAACATTAAATAAAATTATCCAGAGGCATGTGAAATCATGTAATAACCCATAAATCACTTTTGAACTCAATCAAGATTCTAAAACAAAGTTTGTCTTCTATACTGTATAACAGGTGAGTCATTACGCAACCTGCGCATGTCTGAGCGATAAGCGTCAGTATCCTGCCTTCTTCAGAACCGTGCCTAGTGACCACCACCAAGCGGCCGCACTAGCAAAATTAGTCAAGCATTTTGGCTGGACATGGATTGGGGCAGTGCGCAGCGACTCAGACTATGGAAATAACGGAATGGCGTCGTTTCTAAAGGCTGCGCAAGAGGAGGGCATCTGTGTGGAGTACTCCGAGTCCTACTACAGAACAGATCCGCGCAGTAAACTGGAGAGAGTGGCAAACGTCATCCGCAGATCAACAGCCCGGGTAATAGTAGCGTTTATTCAAACAGGCGACATGCTGTTCCTATTGCAGGAACTAGCAACACGACAGCCGCCGCCTCCCCTTCAGTGGATCGGCAGCGAAGCGTGGATCATAGATCCTGAAATCCTGCGCTTTAACATGTGCGCTGGGGCGATAGGTTTTGGGATCCCCCGCTCAGTGATTCCAGGTCTTCGTGAGTTTCTTCTGGATCTCTCTCCAGAACAAGCACTGAAATCGCCTCTGCTGACGGAGTTTTGGGAGAGCTCGTTTAGCTGTAGCCTGAAAGGCTCCTCAGACGGCGCGCGGGAATGTGACGGCAGCGAGGATATCCACGCGCTGCAGAACCCATATACAGACACGTCGCAGCTGCGCATCACTAACATGGTGTATAAAGCTACGTATGCCATAGCGCATGCCATCCACGGTGTTATCTGCAATGACACGCAGTGCGACAAGAGCACAAAATTCGCACCATGGCAGGTATAAAACTGCAAAAAAAAAAATAAATAAAATAAAAAAAAAAGAATAAAAGAAGACTCATCTAGCTTGTCTAGTAATTTAAATAAGCGTAATAAATTACACATTCATACATATATTTTGTACAGTCTATTTGGTTAATTCTACCATTAATTTTTAGCTGGGGAGTGTCTGACCCTTGCAGGACTTAAAATGATCTAAAAAAATAAATAAATAAATAAAGGACAGAAGAGTGATGTATATTTTGTCGGGGTTCTGTTCCTAAATTAAACAATATGAAACAAGATAACAGATCCTAATAATTAGTAAACGTGTTTTTAGTCATGTTGTGCATAAAAGTAGTATGACAAAGCAGCGGCCTCACATAAGATTTTATTAAAAGCAAAATTCACCACTATGTCAATATTCATCACACACAGCTTTTTGTCAGTAAAATTTTATAACAACTAATCAGACTTCACAGTTTAAAATCAAACAATCCATTCACAGTTTTTCAAAATATATGTTCCTCTGCAGATACTCGACCAGCTCAAGAGAGTGAACTTCACTACCAAAAATGGTTTTCAGGTCTCGTTTGATTCCAGTGGTGATCCTGTGGCCGTCTACGAGCTCATAAACTGGCAGGTTAAGAAAGATGGTGGTTTGGATTTTGTGACAGTGGGACAGTATGACTCATCCCGACCCAAAGGCCAAGAGTTTAGTATGAGCAAAGCTATCATCTGGATGCGAGGACAGACTGAGGTATTCCCAGTACTCTCTGACCATGCACTGCAAACACAGAGCAGAACCCAAAATAATTAAGGCTATCAAATACATTAAACGTCTAAGTTTGCCTATGTTGGCAGACATATATGTTAATTGCATAGTAATTTAAATATGAAAATAAATATTTTATTTATTAATTTTTCATAATTGTTTAAGTTCATACAACGTAACATATTAATTCACTTCACCATTCAATGAATTTGATGTAATTGAACATTTAACGTGACTTAAATTTACATAAGTCATTCTTTTTCTTTTGGTGGCCACTTTAAATTAATTTAGCACCACAAACCCCGTCATGGTTATCATAATAAATACCTGTAATAACCATGATAAAAAAAAAAATTTCTGCCTAGAAATAACATGGTATAACTGCAAGTTAACATTATTTGAAGACAATACATAAAAAACGTGAGAAATAAGAGTTGTTCAACAAAGAAAACAGCAAATATGATAGCTGATATAATATGCATTCAAAAATCATACATACATACATACATACATACATCATCTAAACCGCTTATCCTTCTGGGTCGCGGTGGAGTGCTGGAGCCTATCCCAGCTGTCATTGGGCGGGAGGGAGGATACGCCCTGGACAGGTCGCCAGTCCATCGCAGGGGCATTCAGAAATCATTAATGTCAATTAATTTATCATGAAAATTTCCATTTTCTTGATCCCAGTTTGACTATTTTTTTACTGAACGTTCACATATTCCATACGCAATAAATAAACACATATAATCAAAAAAAAGCCAAAAAAAATAAAATAAAATAAAATAAACACATTTATTTCACTATAATGGTTAAATATATTTTACCTATCTGTCACTCAAACCCTTTAAAGAATTTCACCTGTAGGAAGAGTACATTGACAAAGAAAAACATTTTTTTTCTTTTTGTTAAAAAAAAAGAAAAAAAAATCATTTCGCATTAATTTTTCGCATGAAACGCATTTATTTAATGACTTTCAGGTGCCAAGATCTGTGTGCAGTGAGAGCTGTCCTCCAGGAACCAGGAAGGCTGTGCAGAAAGGAAAGCCAGTCTGCTGCTATGACTGTATACCATGTGCAGAAGGAGAGATCAGTAACAAGACAGGTTGTTTATCACACACAGTTCTGGGGAACCTTAATTCATATTTTTAATTCTCTAGCTGTTCTTTCTAAAATAAGATATGATGTATGTCTTTTTACTATTTAAGACTCTCTGAACTGTGTGCGCTGTCCTCCTGAGTTCTGGCCCAACACCCAGCGAGACAGCTGCCTCCCTAAGCCTGTGGAGTTCCTGTCCTGGGACGACACTCTGAGCATCATCCTGACAGTGTTCTCCATCACCGGGGCCTTCATAGCTGTATGTGTGACTGCCGTTTTCTGCAAACACAGAACTTCTCCAATCGTCCGAGCAAACAACTCAGAGCTGAGCTTCCTGCTGCTCTTCTCACTGACTCTGTGTTTCCTCTGCTCACTTACTTTCATTGGTCGGCCCTCTGAGTGGTCCTGTATGCTGCGCCACACAGCGTTTGGGATCACCTTCGTCCTCTGCATCTCCTGTGTTCTGGGGAAAACAATAGTGGTGTTAATGGCCTTCAGAGCTACACTTCCAGGCAGTAATGCCATGAAATGGTTTGGGCCTCCACAGCAGAGACTCAGTGTTCTCACCTTCACTCTCATACAGGTCCTAATTTGTGTTCTTTGGTTGACAACATCTCCTCCTCTCCCCTTCAAAAATCTAAAATACTACAAGGAAAGAATAATCCTGGAATGTGGATTAGGTTCAGCTATAGGATTCTGGGCTGTGCTGGGTTATATAGGGTTTTTAGCTCTTTTGTGTTTTATTTTGGCTTTTCTAGCACGGAAGCTGCCTGATAACTTTAATGAGGCCAAGTTCATCACATTCAGCATGCTCATATTCTGTGCAGTATGGATCAGCTTTATCCCAGCTTATGTCAGCTCTCCTGGAAAGTTCACTGTAGCTGTAGAGATATTTGCTATTCTGGCCTCAAGCTTTGGATTGACATTTTCTATTTTTGTTCCCAAGTGTTTCATAATCATGTTTAGGCCAGAACAGAATACCAAGAAACACCTTATGGGTAAAGGACCCTCCAAGGCTCTTTGAGACTTTTGCTAACTTTATGTGTCACATTGTGATTTAGCAATTCATGTGAAACCTGCTAATTTATGATTAAGTTTATACGTACATAGAAGCTTCAGCAATAAATACTAATTAAACTATATATTATGTTCTAACTCCTAAATTTAAGATTTGCACATGTACTTCTTAAATGATAATACATAATAATGTATTATACCAAAGTAAACGGACCTTTCATGGCTTTCTGCAGTTTTGTTTTTTAAGCCTTTATATCAAAAAGGAATTCTCAAGATCTTTGATTATCTTCTTTATTAATAGAGGAACACAGACCCTTTACATCTGGCACGCCCCCACAAGAGGTAAAACTATGGCATGTTTTTAGAAGAGTTTGATATCTTTAGGTTGTGAAAAGTATGGTTACATAAAAAAATCTTACTGTAAATTTGTGTATTTCGTTAATATTTGAACAAATTCAGAAAATATTCCAAATTTAGGCCTGACTTAAATGCATAGTGTCTTAATTATCCCTTATATTTCAGAATGTGGCCAACTTTAGACCTCTAACACACATACATATTTAACCATTGTCTAAAACCACTGTCCCTTAAACACATGTGTGCTATGGTGGGAAATTGGGTAACACTTTACAACACTGTTTCGTTGTTAATAAGTAACTAATGCAAAGTTACTTATTAATTAATGCAAATCTTTGAAATAATTGTGATAGAAATATTTAGTAGTAAACAATAAAATAATAGTTATTATTCATTTAAAGCATTATATGATAAATAATAAATAATAATAAATGAATAACAATGAAATACATCATCATCATCATCATCATCATTTTTGAGGCGCTTAATCCAGATAGGGTCACTGTAGCATTTGGGAGAGCAGAGTATCCCAGACTACCCTGTCCCCTGCAACTTCCACCAGCTCATCCCAAGCCGTTCCCAGGCCAACTTGGAGATGTAAACACTCCAGCGGGTCCTTGAATAGGCCATGCCTGGTAGACCTCCCCCAGGAAGAGTGGTGGCTCGGGCATCCTGAAGTGGTTCGGGCATCCTGATCAGATGCCCGAACCACTTCAACTGGCTCCTCTTAATGTGGAGGAGAAGCAGCTCTATTCTGAGCTCCTCTCAGACGACTGAGCCCTTCACCATATCAAGTAGATTGTACCCCACCACCCTACAAAGAAAGCTCATTTCTGCTGCTTGCCTCTGCAACCTTGTTCTTTTGGTCAGTACCCAAAGCTCATGACCATAGGTGAGGACTGGGATGCAGACCAACCGGTAAACAGAGAGCTTTGCCTCATGGCTCAGCTCCCTTTTTACCAGTACAGTCCAGTACAGCAATTACATTTGTGCTACCGCCTGTCACAGCCTGCAGCCAATTTCTTCCCATCACATATGAACAAGACCCCGAGATACTTAAACTCCTCCACTTGGGGAAGGTCCTTACCCCTTACCTGGAGTGGGCGTGCCATCTTTTTCCATGGATTCAGACTTGGAGGTGCTGATCCACATATCAACTACTTCACACTCAGCTGCCCATTGCCCCAGTGAGCACTGGAGGCATACATGCGATGGAGCCAAAAGGACAACATCATCCACAAACGGCAACAATCCCACCTTCTGGCCTCTCCACATAATGCCCTCCTGACCTTGGCTATGCCTTCACACCCTGTCCTTGAATATCAGGAACAGGAGTGGAGACAAGACACAACCTCCAACACTCACACTGAAAAGGCCTCACTTAGTGCTGAGTATACAGACACAACTCCTACTGCGGGAGTACAGAGACTGAATGGCCCAGAGTAGTGGCCCTGGCCCTGGATATCTTGGGGAACACGATCATAAGCCTTCTCCAAGTCCAACAAACACATGTAAACTTGGTTGGCCAACTCCCATGTCTCCTCAAAAGAGTCTCCTTTCCAGCACCTTGGCCTAAACTCTGAGCAGTTGGATGCCCCGATAATGGGCACACACTCTCCATTCCCCTTTCTTAATTAAAGGGACTACTACCCAGATCCGCCAGTCCAAGCGTACTGTTTCCGAGGTCCATGAGACATTGGAGAGGTGTGTCAGCCATGTCAGCTCCACAGTATCCAGAGCCTTAAGCATTTCTAGGTGAACCTCATCCACCTTTGGTGCCTTGCCACTGAGGAGCTTGTGCAGGAGGTTCAGAGGTATCAACTAGATATAGTTGAGCTCACCTTTACCCATAGTGTTGGCTCTGGAACCAAACTCCTTGATAGGGGCTGATCCCTCTCCTACTCAGGAGCTGCACAGGATGAAAGGTGCTGGGCAGGTGTGGGGATACTCACAGTGAAATACATACATACATACATACATACATCATCTAAACCGCTTATCCTACTGGGTCGCGGTGGGGTGCTGGAGCCTATCCCAGCTGTCATTGGGCGGAAGGCAGGATACACCCTGGACAGGTCGCCAGTCCATCGCAGGGCAGACAAACAGACATACACAGTCACACACTCACTCACACCTAGGGGCAATTTAGCATGTCCAATTGGCCTGACTGCATGTTTTTGGACCGTGGGAGGAAACCGGAGTACCCGGAGGAAACCCACGCAGACACGGGGAGAACAGGCAAACTCCACACAGAAATGACCCTGGTCACCAGTGAAATACAATAATATAAAAACTGACATGCCAACACAAAAAGCATTCCATATTTCAGCATCAAACATCAGCATAAAATTGTTTATGTCAGTGTCACTGCTGGGCCAAGAATGGTTCACCACCTAAATAATATCTGGTCAGCAGTTGTTGTATGGTCCATCGATGGTTTTGGCAGTGGATGGTTTGTTAGGAGTGCCTGACAAAAGTACTACATGGTCAAAGTATGTGGTCATTTCTTCTGAATAGTAGGTTTCACTTTTTAAGCTCTGAAGTAAACATTTATGTAGTCTCCATACACAAACATTCTAAGTAGAATAGGTCATATTGAAGAGCTGAGTAACCCTTAAAGTGGCAACGTCATAGGGTGCCCTTTCATCACGTCACTTTGTCAAATTTCTGCCCTGTCAGAGCTGCCCCCGTCAACTGTCAGTACTACTACTAGGAAGAGGAAAGGTCTAAAAGCAAAATAAAAGCTCAGGGGTGGGCTGCACAAGCTTACAGAACAGGACTGCAGAGTGCTAAAGCATGGAAAAATTGTCTGTCCTGTAGTTGTTTTCAAACGTTCTGTCATATCAATAACCAATAGTTTATTTTTCAGCTCTATTTTATAAGTGGTATTATGGAGGCAACATGAAATTAGATATTTTCAGTAAAAAGGATTCAATAGGTCAGAGAAAATTGTGTCCATCAAAGAAATGATCATAATTTGTTAGGCTCGGACAGAATTCAGACTGCAGACCATGCTTAGGTAAAAAGGGTTTATTAACAAAGAGAGCATCCCAAATCAAAGTCAGCCAGTCCAAGGCTGTATACCAAAACAGTAACCACGAGGAAAACAGGAAACATGGTCAAACCATAAAACACACCAATACTGAGAGGGCAAGGCAAAAAGGCAAGGTTTAAGAAAAACAAAACAAGGTTCATACATGAAATAGCAAACAGACAAATGGAAGGCTCGGTAAGGCTCTGATAACAAAGGCAATACTTCACAATGAGTTAAGCTAAAGCCTGAGCTTATATATTAAACTAACAGGTAACCATAATAAGGAACAGTTTTGAGTGATCAGTAGTCAAGTGAGGTAGAATGTTGGACAGTCATGTGAGGGAGGTTGGAAGTCATGTGATTGGGATTAGAGTCCAGAGGCTGAGAGGCAGAGACAGTGGAAATGGAGGGAAGTGTGACATAATTAGTCAGATCAAAGTAAGTTCATTAAGTTTTACATTGAACCACACAGTGAAGGGTTCTAGGATTACACTTGTTAGCTTTTATCTATTTAGTTAATCATTTACATTTCTAGGATGTAGATGCACTAAATGATAGTTGGATCAGCCCAGAGGTGATTTGGATATAAAGGCATTAGTTACATTAATGTAACATAGGTTAACATTTTTGTTATATGTGCTTTTTCAACACGTCTTTCCAAATCTTCTGGCATAAAGATGGAATTACCCACTATTTTCTGCCCTAACCACCATCTACTCTTTTGGGATGGCTTTCCACTAGATTTTGGATGGTTGCTCTGAGCATTTGCATCTATTCAACTGAAAGAGTATTAATGAGGTTGGGCACATGTTGGGTCAAAAGGTTTGACTTGATGTTCCAGTTTATTCCTAAGATGTTTGACACATTTGAAGGTAGAGCTAAATACTAAACAGTAAGCCTCTCATAAAAATCCATGGAAATCATGGAAATGGTTCTCTCTTCAGCACCAGGGAGAGCATTTGAGGTAACAGAATTGGCAGTTTTGCTCCAACTGAGCTGAAATGTCCAATGATGGTATATTTATAAAGTTAGAAAAGATTTGTCTTCACATGTCTAGGAAAAAGCATTATTGATAAAGGGAGAAATAAAGTAGTACTTTAGTTGGACAGCCCGTTGTAAATGTTTCAAAGATGCTTATCGTCCATTTCACTAAAAGTCTACTAATTGTTTCATATATTTACCCCACTTTACCCCAATATTAAAATTAACCACAGTCTAAAACCTCACGTTCACACTTTTGTTACTGTTACTAATACTAACCCTAACAATGGTGAAAATCAAAAGACTTTCAACATTTATTCATTTTTTTTTTTTAATGAATTAAAAATCTTCACATCATTTATTAGGAATGCTCCAATTAAACTGAGCCCATAACTTGTGGATGGGATTTGTCTTCAATCCAACTTGGGAGAACAGTTGGGTACACCAGAACATCACATTCATATGTGCTTGTTGGCTCAGAAGAAACACATTTAATGATCATTGTAAATAGTTTTAAAGATGCGTGTGTTGCATGGAACTTACGTACAAATTATCTATTAAATTTAGCTTAAGTTATCAAAAAGAGGTCAAACAGTGTCGCTGGACTGAATACACTTCATCGTGTGAGTCGTTGC